AGCGCTGGGCTGCTTTATCTCCACCATCGGGGTCAGGGGGTGTGTAGCAGGCGCAGCAGCAGCTGTATTCTGCTGAAGAGTAACCCGGGTTCCCCTCTGCTGCAAAAGCCATCTCACACCTTAGAGGGGTGGGCTGGCTGCACGACCAGGGCTGGGAGGGAGGGCAGTGAAGACACATTTTTGACTCACTTAGTCGTGTATCGTTTCAGTTCATTGCCCGACAGCCCCAGGGGTGCACGCTGAAACACCTGGTCAGAGTCTTAAAGAGCAGACACGTGAGGGGAAAAAAGTGGAGCTACGGTCACCAAAACTTAGGAGTTGGCAAGATGGCATTGCCCACATTGCCAGTGACTTAGCTCCTGTGACCTCAAATAGCCAGGCCCCTAAATTCCACTTGGGATCCCAGGACAGATCTCCACAATGAGGCAGGTCACAGCTGCCAAGTATGGACCATACACACAGTCAATGCTCTGTTGGTCTGAATGGTTTCAGGATTTTTTTTAAAGAAGATTTTGTTTTTTTTTAATGGAGGTACTGGGGATTGAACCCAGGACCTCTACCACTGAGTTATACCCTTCCCCCTGGTTTCGGAATTTTGAAAAATGTTCTTAAGCTACAAATCACCTTATATTTGAAAAGGTGGGAAGCATCTGTGTGTGTGGCAGTGGGGTAGAGGGGGAGCTTCCCTCTGAAAACTCCCTGGTGCACCAAACCACAGGGTTTCAACCCTCGCCTGTCAGCTTCACTGCCAGGTATTGCTGGGTGAAACCACTTGAGTCCAAACCATGCCTCTGGGAGAGGGGCCAGGGGAGACGTGGGGTAGAGTATAATGAGATGATTTTCAAGCCCTGTTAACTTTTTCCATTTTAACTGATATTTCTGGATGAGGCACCAGCTCTCTTGGGAGGCCAGTTCTAAGGCATTCCATGGAGCCCAAAGCCAGCTGTGAAAGACTAGCTTGGGGCAGAGCTGCTAGGGAAAGAGTTGCACTTGAATTTCCAGCTCTTGCAAGTCCCGATTCGGAAGGTCACAATTAGGGGAGGAGGCTGCCTCTTTACTTCCCCAGTCCCACAAGGAACACAGAATGGAATGACCTTAGCATCCTCTCTACCTCTGTCAGTTTGAGAGCCAGAATTTCTTGTGGATTAGTACTGAGGGAGTATTAATAACCAGATGGAGACTCAGCGGGGCTGAGTCCATTTACAGGGATCACATGGGCAGAAGGCAGTAGAGCCGGACTTCAGAAACAGGTCTGGTAGAAATCCAGCCCACATCTCCCCCACCCCCACCCCCACCCAGCATACCAGCACTAGACAAGGCTCTGGGACCACAAGGATGAAGGGGACATAGTTCCTACCCTGAGGAGCTCAGACAGAAGCGAAGGTTTAGAGTATCTTAGGGAGATGTCGTTCTAATTCTATTAGAGACTCATTTTGAGCCAAAGCACATTCTTTCAGTGAGAGGGCCTCCTTGTACCTCAATGTCTGCACTTAGGAAATGAGGAATCATGCCTCCCATCAACTAAAATGCACCTTTTACCATGCTCAAGGGTTTACAGAATATTCTAGGGCCTTTGGCACTATGTCAATACAGAGTGTCACTCTTATTACGAATGGGTGATAGCTACCACTACATAGAACATTTAAGTCTGATGCTCTGTGCATTAGTGAAATGACTTCATTTGGTGAGTAAGGTGACCTCACACCGGCCACCACAGCACTAGCCGACGGGGGCCTGAGGTAACCGGATGTAAAAAGATTCTGAAGTCCTAATTCCAGCGTGAGTTGTGCTAATAAGGAAAAGACCAAACTGAGTCACAAGAAAAATGGAAATGGGGTAGAGGGAAAAATCTTAGTACCAAAACACAGGGTCAGGAGAAATGCATGGGTAACAATCACCGGGTGAAAGAAGGCATCAAAATCTTTAGCCATACTGTTTTCCGTCTCCTGATCTAAATTCGCACAGCAGCCGGGCTCTACGGCTGTTCACCAGCTGCCCAGCTCCATCCTAAGGCAGGTAAAACTGCCTTCGGGCAGCGTGTGCACTGAACCAAGTCAACAAACTCCATGCCTGCCTCCCATGGGAGGCCGCAGACGTCAGAGGGGCTCCGGTTTAGCATGCCACAGGAGGGCTGTGCAGAGAGAGAGTCTGGTCAAGGCTCTGGAAAGCCCTGTGGAGTCTGTGGGGAACAATAAGAATGTAGAATATAAATTTAAGCTGCAGGCTGATGGGCCCATTAGGAATTAGGGCAGTCTTTGAAAGGAATCTGCGGAGATGATGCAAAACACCAAGCATGTGACCCAAATCGTGGCAGGGCATATTGGAGGGAGAGGGGAATGGGAATGAGACATTTTCTAATCTGATTAGTCTGAAGTTTCCCCCGAGTGTGGAGAAGGGTCACTGCACAATTAGAGGCAAAGTTAGACTGAACATGGTCTGCTCGGCAGCTCGGAGGGATGACCTCCTCGGAGCGGCGCTGGGCTCCCAGGCGGATGTGTTCTAAGACTGAGACGACTCCGAAGCAAGCTGGGGAATACTCTTTCTGCCTTGAATGTCAAATCGTCAAGGCAAAGACAAAACAGTCTGCTGAGAGAGTGAGAGGATGATGACTTGGTGGCCTCGGTACTGGATAAGAAACCTCTAGGTCCTCCAGAGGCCAGGCTCCCACATTACTGGACTTTCCAGGACAACTCATCCTCAAGGCCATCAAGAGATAATCTAATAAACATCCACAGCTTCCTGACTGGAAGACAGCTTAATGTGTGAAAGGCGTTCGGATCCAACTGTTTAAAAACAAGGCTTCCTCTATGTAGGAGGACACAGGTTTCTTCCAGTTCACTGCTAAGTCAGACTGTGTGGTCTGTGGTCCCTGACGGACACTTCTCTCCTAATCCCCAGTCAACACTCAGTCCCAGCTGCTGCGGCGCTGGGGAATTTCTGTATGCTGTCTCAATTCACTCTGAGAACCACGAGGAAGCAGGTATTGTTATCTTATTCTAGAGGCAAGGAATCGAGGATTCAGGCAGGTGAAAAATCTTGCACAAGATCACACAGCTAGCAAGCAGGTTCAAAGAACATAGGAGACAAGGTAGGGGTAAAATTGTCAAGATGTGACAACCCACTGGTCACTTTTAGGCAGTAAATCACACAGGTTAGGAGCAGGTCTCTGTATCTGAGTCAATCAAATATCTAGTCACAGATCTTCATTACAAGGTAAGAGCCAAAAAGAGAAACATAAACAGCATTGTGAGAATCCTTAGGAGGAGAGAACCACTGCCAGCCAAGCAGAGGTGGGCTTTATGGATATGGTGCTATTTGAAATGGGTCTTAAACGAAGAGCAAGCTTTCGGCAGGTGAAGAAAATTGGAAGCTATGTCCTACTGAAGAAATAGCAAGAGAAAAGGCAAAAAAGTGGGAAGGCAGGAGGTAAACATGTGAAATGCTAAATGGCCCATCTGGCTGGACTATCGGGAACGGGAAGGGGAGCTTGGGGAACGTGAGAACTGTGGACAAACCTGACTCCTAGGTCTGCCCATTTCATCTCAGGTCCTTCACACCAGGATGGCCTATTTATCCTGCACACTGCTGCTGGCAGGTCAAAGTAAATAGAGCTGATAGGCTAGGAGACCAGGTCAATCCAATGCATACACACACATCCAACTGGATTGGCCACTTCTTCACTGCCTTCCTGATACCTGGAACCCTAGTTTTCCCACATGGGATTTAGTTTTATCTGTTCCTTTGGTTTCTCCTTTTATCTCAGGTGAGGACTCCCCACTCTGGCCCCTGCTTGAGAAGAATGCTCCAATAACAAACCTAAGCCCCACGATGGTGAAGGGGCTCAAAGCTAAGGAGTTTGGTCATTCCTTAGAAAACAAAGAAATGGTACAGAAGGCTTGTGAATAGAAGAGTGACACTATGATATTTTTGCTCTTGGAAGGTACTCAGCTGCTGTATGTAAAGATGGATTTAAAAATTTAGAGACTGGTGGGAGAAAGTCCAATAAGGGAGGCCTTGCAATAGTCAAGAGGAAAGGTGGGTCAGAACAAGAGTGAAGACAGTGGGAAAGGAAGGGAGAGAGTGGATGCAAGCAGGAGGAAGGAAGTAAAAATGTCAGGACATTCTAATCGGCTGGCTATTTGTAGACAATGATTCAAACTGGTTAGTAGCAGAAGATGTGCATTTGAAAGGTCCAGGGGTTAAGTCACAGCTTGTCTTTTTCCAGACTATGTGACTTCGGGCAAAATGTTCTCTCTCTAAACCTCAGCCATCTCATGTAAGATAGGAGGATAACAATTCTGACCTCACCAAGCTGTTCTCACAAAGTAAATGAGGTAATGTATTCAAAGCCATGATAACAATGCCTAGAACACAGCCCCAAATGTCAGAATTATCAAGATAAGTAAGTTAAAAGAGGCGCTGGAGTCGTGCCCTGGGAAGCATAAAAGATGACCGGAGTCTGGGTGGCGTAGGAGGGGAGGGGGTGCTGCCAGGAAGTCAAAAGTCCAGTTCAATACAAGAAGTGAGGTGTTTTAGAAAGCAGCTCACTGCGCTTTCCTTTTGCAACATCATCATCTCTACATTTTACATGCAGTGCTCCAGCAGGATGGAGCTCTGTGCTGATAACACTGCTAGGTCCTCTTACTGCATGTCTCTAGCCATTGGGAACTAGCGCTTGGAAAAATCTGTCCCAAATTTTACATCATATTCTCATAACCAAGGAAGCTGTACATTTTCATTTTGTCCCAGGAATCTATGTGCATATCAGTGTATCTTAATGTTGAAAAGACAAAATAATAATTCATAATAGGCTCTCTAGCTAACATTCAAAATCATGACTAACTTTTGCTTTTGTATCACTTAAATGGAGGTGTCATCAATAATATAATCAAAACAATAAAGGTCAATCAAGGGCACTTAAAGGTAGATGTAAAACCAGGAACAGTCCCCGAAACAGAGCCATGCACCACAGTGCCCATGAGGGTGCAATTCTGGCTTACCTGGACAGCAAGGATGCTAGAAGATCATCATCCAAAGGTAACCTGGCAGACTTGCACAGCCTTCTGATGTCTTTGCTGGGTAATACTTTTTTCCTGCATTAAAACAAAGTAAATGGGCTTTTATATCCTTTGTGTGTCTCGAGTTACAATTACAGGAAAGAAATGCTACAGGAAAGAAAGTACAGATGTGTCCTAAAAACGTGGACATGGTACTGGAGTCACAGCAAGGAAAAACGGTCATTCTGCATTTTGCCAACTTTTGTCCATTTCAGCAGCCACCAGATTCTGTCCTTACAAAGGCCTCTCCATCAAGACTGAGATTCTTGGTTGGTGACAGCACAGCCTATTAAGGCTGAAGCCACTAGTGTTGCTCTAAGTAATCGATCTGCATTCTTGACCACTGGTCAAAAATGGTTCTGATATTTGAAAACATCTCTTAATTTGACAGGCATCTAGGGGCTCCAACACAAGAATTATATGACTTGAGGGTGTTTTTCTAATCTTTTCCTTGGACCCAAATCTTATAACCTAGAAGCCCCCACTGGGGCCCTAACATTCACCTCAATTTTGTCAGATGGTTTCTCCAGAGCCGCCCAACAGTCATTTTCCCCAGCCTGCTGGGGGCACAGAAATACTCGTCCAATGTCGTCTCTCAGCCAGTGTTCTTCCAGGCCTCAGGCAAAATTAGAACCATCAGGAAAGAAAGTGGGTTTCTTTCTTTGGAGATTATAAAATGATAAAAGAATGTTTCTGTCTAGAACCAGAGCTTGTTGGATCTGGAAGGACCTCAGAGTTGTCTGATCAAGTAGCCCCATTATTCCCAAGAGGTGTTCCTTTAGTGAAGGAGGGTCACACTTCTCACCCAGGGCAGGGGTATCATCAGGGTGGAAGGCAGGGCCAGGGTCATGCAACGCCTGGGCCTCAGGAGGCTCAGAGAAGCTTAAGGATTCAAGGAAAAATACCACCTTTATTTAAAAAAAAAAAAAAAACTCAACAAGGGTGTATTATGGATTAGCAAGGAAAAAAAACATGTTCACTATTAAGATAAACTATGGGAACTTCAAAGATGTTTAAGGTATGCAGGTGGCTGCTTGGGTGCAGACTTTAGGACTGCGGATAAAGGGAGGGGTCATGAGGAAAAGAGATGGCAGTGGTGAGTAGCAACAAAATCAGAGGCTAGAGTTGAAACTAAGACTTTCTCACTGCAGGTGAGTAGCCTGCTCCCCAACCCCCACTATATCAGGCCTGAGGGTAAGATGGATACCAAAACATACTAAGATGGGGCTCCTTGTTTGTAACAATGACTCAATAAAGCTCAATACAACCATGGTAAATGTACTAGAAATAGATTATCATTATGCTGAGCTTCATTATGTTCAAGAAGAAATCACTGCAAAGAAATTCTACAGAAAGTTTATTTGCAAATCCCACTTATCACTAAAATAATGTGAGAAAAAGACATCTCAGAATTAAACCTTCTAACACTGATTTGCTGTGTTTCAATTATAAAGCTTCTAGAAACCAATTACAAGAAAGTGGAAAGGGGCAACCCTATTCTTTTGAAGATGCAGGGCCTCCCCTATTCCATCACCAAAGAGAGCTCACCATCCATCACTGTGAAATATCCGCACCCAGATAATCTCCAAAAATGATTTAAGGTGGCTTTGCTAAAATAGTGGAGTATGAGGAGGCACGCTAATTTTCTTCTTGCTCTTTTTTGATAAAATACAAATTCCTTCATTACTGGTTCACAGAAACGTAAATGACTTATTAGCATCAATAAAATAAAATGCTTACTTTTCCCGATCTTGGTATACACAGGTAGCAATGAGTCTTTCGAAATTCTCAAAACCATTTTTCTTGAGCTGCTCGTGGACCTCTGCCATTAGGATATCTGGACACGGGTCCTCAGGCACCTGGTAGTGACGTGCAATGGTTATAAGTTCTTGGTCTGTGAGTCTCCCGACAGTTAGAGTCATCATTATGTCTCTGTAAAGAAAATGGAAAACACTCATGAAATTATATCTAAGACTATTTTACCTTTCCTTCTATTAAAAATATCCAAATCCCACTTTACCAACTGCATACAGAACAAATTATTATTTTTCTTTAATTTCTCCACTTAACTTGTGCTAGAATGGAAAACCATAAGCACTATAGCTTATAAATAAAATGGCATTTTGCCCAGAGACAAACTTCTACCAGATAACAGCCAACAACTAGGAAGTAAATTCTTAAAGTCCTTGAATGGTCAAAAATCCTGTGATTTAATACATGATTTCATTCAATGTCTATTAATCTTACTTTACACAAAATAGTAACAGGCTTGGGGTTCTGGTTTCCCAGGGTAAAAAACTCATAAATCAGTAAGTTAGAAGGGTGTTTTAGAGATGGGGAAAGCAATTGTGCACATTTCTGTAGTGAAAAGTAAAAACTGACACACCCTACCAGTGAGAAAAACGTGAAAAGAGCTGTGTAAAAGTGCAGTCGTCTGAGTCTTTAGAAGGCACATGGCTGAAATGTTTTCAACATATTCTCTATATGAAAGATATGAAAGCTATAAACCATGCAACACGTATTAGAAAGAATTACATCAAAATGGTAAAGCTGCAAGCTGTTATGGTGGTTAAATGAACAAGCTTCCACCATCTAGAAAATCTACTTACCAGAAAAAATTCAGTTCCCAAGAATCCCAAATAAATGAGGGAATACAAGATTTTATTTGTTCTTCTGCCATAGATGGGTCTTTTAGAATAATGGTTTTTGGTTCTTTTAGAGATCTCTCGTCATTTTCACTATCATTTGAGAGATCTGGGTTCTTCTAGTAAGAATATTCTTAGATAGAGCATAGGCTAACCCACAGCTATGACGCTGACCTGTCTGAAAAAGCTGCATTTCACCTGTATCCACGTACTAAGGCCTCCGGTTTTTGTTTCATTTTGTTTTGCTTTTGCTTTTTTGATGGGAAATGAAAGCCAAATTCAACTAAGAGGACTCCACAATTGTAGCAAGTCAGTTTGGGTTAGATGATCAATCACAGTAACATTGGCTGGGGGCTCACTGTATGGAAAACACTGCACTCACTTTGGCATCTGAACTTTTCAGTCTGTAATCAGAGTGTTTGGGCTGTCCAAGCATCCAGATGAGCTCTCTAGCCACAAACTGGGGAGGGCCACTTGAATCAACAGAGTAGTAATAATAACCCTCGCCACCTGTTGAGTACTAGCTATGTGCCAGGTCCTGTGTTGCCAGGTCCTTCTGGCATTGATCATCTCATCTGGTCCAAAAGGCAGATACTATTACCCCCATTTTGCAGATGAGAACACAGAGGCAAAAATGTTAAGGAATACGTCCAATATCATGAAGTCAGCATGCAAACCCCTGCAGTCGGCTCTAAAGCCCATGCTCCGCCTACTATGCTATCCCTCTTCTGTTGGGACACAGGAGACAGAGTGAGCAGATGGAGCAGGGCTTAGGGAAAGCTAAAGGCAGTGGGTTTTGAGCTGATTTTTTACAGACCTCTATTCCCTTTACCATTCGTGACCTCTGCCTTAAGGGCTATCACTGACCTGCCTTAATAAGTAAGAGAGAGTAATTTCAGAAATCCTGAGTCACAGACAGAGGGCTAAGTGACCATGAAGGAACCACTCCAAGGAAAGCCCTTGGCTCACTGTGAACACTGGTCATGGACTGATCAGCCATGACACGTGCATAAAATTGAACATGACACAACCATGAGAAATAGGCTGTTGATTGGTATTTATTGGTATGAAGGATGTCAGTGCTATGCTGATAAATGTTGTATGACCAGAGTGAAACTAAAGATACTGGTATATACGTATTTGCAGAAGGAAAAAAAGACTGGAAGGATACATATCAAAACATCTATAGCGTTATCCCTGATTGATGAGGTTTCTTTATATATATGTATAAAAACGATTGTTTTACATATATATAAAATGCCTTTTTCTAAATTTTTGTAATAATCAAATATGACCTCCATCGTCAGTTAAAAAAAACCAAACCCAACACGTGAAGTCTCTTCCCTTTTGAGGGTAGAAAATGGCGTGAAGAAAAAGTGGCACGTTCTGAAGGACAAGGGAAAAGCGCATGTGCAGCAAGAACTAGAAACTTTCCACGCACCTCTAACTAAAGTTACTCTAGCCCCACAGGGTCATAAAAGTTTATTGTCCTTTTCACTGGATAAACTGAAATGATCCTGACCTCACTGCAGTTAAAGTTTATATCTGCTGGGTTTCTGTGTGCTTGGGTTTTAAACAGCTCAGTATTCCACCACCTTCCATGGCTTTCTGTGGGCATTCCAAACAAGCTGCCCTCAGTCATGCAGGACACCAGGGGCCCCAAAGCGGCTGCCGGGCTGGCCACTGCACCCACACCAGGTAGGACCTGGCACCGAGGAGCCCAACTGGGCAGTGCAAGCCTTGTCCTGCACACCTCAAGTGGCGGCCACCACTTTGCTCCGTGTTTGCCACGGGTCCTTTCTTCAGGACCCACTCCACTCTGTCAGACTTTAATGGGCTTCCCCAAGAATGGGGAATCTTTTCAAAAGCAGCACATTCCATCTCGTTTCACTGTGGGGAAATCCACTTAACATAAAATTTACCATCACTAGCATTTAGTGCATTTACCTTGTTATGCAACCACCACCTCTATCTGTTCCAGAATATTTTCATCACCCCCAAGAAGCAGTCAGTGCAGTTTCCTTCTCCCATACCATGCTCCCTGCTCTTCCTCAAACAATTTCAGGGCCTTTGCACTTGCTGTTACCTCTGCCCGGAATGCTCTTCCCTAAGATGATTACACAGTTTGGTCCTTCATCTCCTGTAGCGCATCTTCTCTTCTGCTAGGGTATCGTTTTCTCCATGAAACCTTCTCTGACCATCCTTTTTAAAAGTGTGACCCCTCCTCCTATGAGCCTGGCATCATTCCCTAACCTCTTCTCTGCTTTCTTTGCCTCAGTGGCATTCATCATATGCCAATGTAGTGTATCTTTTATTTTCTTATTCTGTATATTGTCTTCTTTTTAGTGGTATTCATTTTATTTATTGGTTTTTGGGGGGAGGGGGCAGGTAATTAGGTTTATTCATCTATTTATCCATTTATTTATTTAATGGCGGTACTGGGGATTGAACCCAGGACCTTGTGCATGCTAAGCATGTGCTCTACCACTAAGCTATACTCTCCCCTCTGTATTATTATCTTTAATCCTCCACTAGAACGTAAGTTCCACAAAGGGCAGGGCTATTGGTCTACTTTGTTCATTGTTGAATCCCCAACACCTTAAAGGGCCCCTGGCACACAGTACACATGCTGTAATAAATAGTTTTCTGAATAAATAACAAATGAGAGTTCAGTTAGTAAGGTATGAAAAGCAATTAGCATAGTGCCTGGAACTATGAATGTTCATAAACAAGAGCAATTTTTATTATTCTCACCATCCCACAATGGAGGTAGTTTCATTTTGTATTAAACTGGAAGAGTTTCTTCCTTGAAGCAAGTTTATCTTGGAAAAATGTGAAATGTCTTTGATGACTGAAATCATAGAATTTATTGAGAATGTAAACGGGAAATGGTACACTTACTTTGAATAGTCAAATTCAGGATTAAGTCTGAAGTCATAAAGTAATAAACTCCAGGTGTGCCTTCCTTTATATAATGGATATACTTGAGAAGCTGGACAAATGCTTAATTCTTCAAATTCAAGTGAGATGCCCCCTTTCAGTCTCTATTATATATAAAGATACTCTACCTTCATTTTGGTCATTTTTCATTGGCAATGGCACTTAACACCTTAGCTTTAAATCTCTCTAATTTCTGTCAAGCTGTTAATGACAAACAAGCACCCTGAACTCTGAAATAAATCCTTTGGAAACTAAAGAATCTTTTGACAGTATAATAATTACTGCCAAATTTCTCCACTTTGTAAATTGATTTTTTTGACATATTTTCTCAAACGGAAGTCCATTTCCATTGAAAATCACTGACCCTGTTTTCTAACTCCAAATAAATGTAAGCAGCATCTAGTTTTCTCTCTTACTGCTCTAATCTTCATTTCAAATTAAATGCTATGGCTTTTCCTGTTTTGACATGTAGTGGGATATACATGATAATTCTGATTTATTTAGTTTGAAATTCAGTATGTCTTCGTGTACTTGACTTTGGGGCCCTTTAAGTATAGCCGAATGAAATGTGATATTCTCATGCAGTTAAGAGTAATTGCTATATATCATCAACAATATTTTTCATAGAGGTACAATTTTAGAACCTTTTGAAATGCTTATCTATAATTCTACAATTTGGTACAATATGCATTTAAACAAGATAAGACAACAGTGTTTTTTTTGTGGGTTTTTTTTTTGGTGTTTTACATCATGTCAAGTTTTTCTGGTAGCAGCAAATGGAAGTCTGAGCGATGGTGCTTAAAACTTGCAATGTGGGCAGAAAGGAATGAATATTCATTTCATTTACAAGCGAAGTCATTCATTTTCTACCACCGTCCTTTTCATTAACACCCATCCTGTGTTCAGGGATTATCTGTCTCCAAGCAAACCTCATTTGTTTGGCTTTTTGTTTTTAACTCTCTCACTGGTTGCCAGACGTTTTAGAGGCCATGCTAAACCCTGTGATAATCGGGGAGCCTTACATGGAGGGCGACCTCATATAAGCCCACTGGTCACACAACTGGCTGAACACAAGACCAGACTGTGCTCTTCTGGACTTAAAATCAATTTTGTAATTCAAGACTTACTCATATCAAAACACATCAAACAAAATATAATCAGATTCTTAATTCTTTCTGAACACACACCTTAAAATATAAAATTAATTGGCTTAATTCCATTATAAAAGGAACACATTTCTAAATATAGAGAATGTGGATAAGAAGGGCTGTAACAAAGATACAGCCAGCTCCGAGAAAGTAGCCTTCATCTAGTCTGGCATGTATACACATGAAGGGGAAAATCCAG